CCTTGATGATTTATCTAACGTTAAGAATTTCCTCATGCACCAAAAAATATGAATTTATTTTAGTCCAAATGTGCTACCTTAAATAAATTACGAATGGTTATATAAGTATGTTTAAATAAATCTGGGAAAGCCTATTGTAGTCAGGAGTCTTCCAAGAGGGATATCTTGCAAGTTACACATGAGCAGACCCTTAGTACGGTCAAAATGCACAATAAAAAATGGTTGATGTTAGGAGTTTTGGAGATGTAGTATTTATTGACACAAATGGTAATATGATGACTAGTGTCAGGAGAATCAGACTTAACAAATAATTTTATGCTTGGACTAACGCGTAAATTTATGAATATATCCATCTCACCGTCTGATTCTGAGGATAAAATCTTCCGAAACTCCGTGACTTGTTCAGCAGCCTTGCTGGACCCGGGGCCACCATCACTGACAGCCGTATCCAGGGCCTTGGCGACAAGAGCTTCTAGCTGGAAATGAGCCGTAGGGAAGGCGAAAATGTTTTGAGTCGACACGGGACAACGCCAATTTAGACTAGCCCCGACATCCGAGAGGCGGTGGGCAAATTGCATACTCACAGTACTGTTGGCCCGAAAGTTAACTGAGGATTTTAAAAGGGTTAATCATTCAGTTGAAAAACTATTTAATAACTTGGAAATAAGGGTGCAAGCCAGATAGATAAAAGCAAAATCCCACTAAGGAAAGAAGTTCTCTCTCTTTTTTTAAAGAAACCCAGCTGCTTTGCCCCACATGTCCAGCATAATTTCCAGTTGACTTCTTGACCGTTAAAAACATGAAAAACAATTAAATACACTCAATAAAGCCGATAAAATCTGGGTCTAAGCCAAAAACGAGCGGATACAGGCGTACCAGAGTCCAAACTACGAACAAGAAGGCTCTTCGTTCTTTAGGTTGCGGAGGAAATATGGCAAGTTAAGATAATGGAAATTGTAAAGATTTTAATATTCTATAAAAAATCAGCGGTGAATAATCACAAAACATCTTGAAATGAGAACAAGAAGTGACTCTAATTCATTCTTCGATTAAAGTCTTTACAAGCTTGAGATCATTGCATGGTTGCTCCATATATTCAAAGCTAGTTTGCGTGATTTATCAATAAAAAATTGGTTCTCAGTTTGTTGCAGCCATAATGAATTACGTTGCACTGTCCGACAGTTGATGCGGCAAGGAGTGATATCTAAATGACCCAAGATAAATCTAAAAAGAC